AATGTGTATCGTGCACGCGCCTGCCTACACATATCGAGGGTGGTTGGGTGGCGCAGTGGTAACGCACTCGCCTTTCACCTCGCCGTCCGGTGTTTGACTCCTAGAACGGATGTGAAAAGACAAAGGTCACCTGCCAGACCACGTGGGTTTTCCCCGATTACTCTGGTTTCCTCTCACAATAAGACCCCTCGCGCGCTTACATCCGGGTCAACAAGAGTGATTAGTATAAGTTGAAAAAAAACTTGTTTCTTAATTGTTGTGAAATAAATAAAGTTTGATTTTTTTTTAAATGAGGCCCCAACTCTCTATTGTAGGAAATCGATACGAGGAGCAAGGAATTTAGTCATGTGTCTAATGTCTAAGAGTAATGGTGTTTCATTACACATTTTGACAAGATAATAGCGCCAAGACTTTCCCTATTTATTATGACGTGTAAATTATCCTAAGACTCATAGATATGCTTCGTAAACACCAATGCAATCAATTTTAATAAATGATAAATCTATAGTCACAAGTCTCACACTCCGTAAACTTATTACGCCATCTTCTGCCAATACACAAGCATACATGTGCTCATGGCTTCTCTGTTGCGTTATCCAACGTGAATAGGAATAAAATGAAAACCTGACATTTCTTAACAACTATGTTATAAATGGTAACCTTAAGTTATCGACATGATATTCCACACAAGCCACTGTCTTAGCTGATCGGTATTTTCCTGTCTCTCTGATTTTGAATGATGTCGATGTGGATAGTTAGCATTAATAATTAATATATATATATACAGTTATAATTCTATATTTCATAAATAAATCGTCGAATACTTCCCTCTGTCAGTTGTGCCTACCAAATGATTCCGACAACCAATTAATTCCTCAAAAAGGGTCGAAATGGACGCACTCCCCACTTAGCACCTTTCAGTTTTGAAGAAAAAAAAACCTTATTTTTTCCGGATTTTTACGGTAACAAAATAAACCGTCGATAATATGTTTTAATGTCACAAAGTTGACAATGAAATACTTCTTCTAATCAAACAATATATATACAAGATGCGATGCCTTCACAACTCTCTGAACATTAATAGTCTTATTATCACAATAAAATACCATTATAATTCACAAAAATACACTGCTAATAGTCAAGGTGAAATTGCCATGGAAAATTTCAAAAAGAAATGGAAAAAATGGGAGAAAGTGTGTAATTTGTGATTTCAAGAAAAATATATTGACCCACTAATGAAGTGAATTTTTTTTTTTTTTTTGTATTTTAATTATTATGCCATCCCCCCCATCTCTCTCTCTCTCTCTCTCTCTTTCTCGCTTTCTCTCTCTCTATCTTTTTCTCTCTGTGGGTGTTTGTTTGTTGGTGAGTGTGTGTGTGTGTGTGTGTGTGTGTGTGTAAGAGAGTGGGTGTGTGTGTGTAAGGGGGCGTGGGTTGGTGTGTATGTTTATATATATACTGCGGATGAATTTTTATTCCGATGCACGAATTATATAATGGTCATGGCAATTATGAATAGTGGTGAGAGGAAGTGTGTGTCATGTTTTCTTGTGTATGTTTGTATTTATGTGAAAATTTCCAAAAATAAACAAATACAAAAAAATATGTTTTAATGTTGTTCTGGGTTCAATATCCTGAGCCAATGTCAGTGGAAATCTCTTTTGAATTTTAAAAAGAGATTAAAACTTGTTTCCGTGAATTGTACATCTTGCAAAAAATTGATAGAAAATGTATTCACAATTTCAAATGTGGCCTATTTAGTTATCGTCTTTGAAAAAGACCTTTGAGTTTTTGTATTAACCTCCAGTTTCCGTATTTTACAATGCATTTAAAACGTGTTTACTAAATTGTAAACCATTAGCTCATTCAGGCATTAAGATATTATCATCATACAGATTGATAAACATTTTAAGGATATTCCAATAGTATCATCTAAGTTAGGTACTGTTTCGAGGCATCCAATATTATTAACTGTAAAGAACTGTAAGACATAAAGATCAGTGACCAATAGAAATGGCGATAGACTTTCCCCTTGTTTTACCCCCATACAGTCGAACGGATTCGATCTTAACACAGATTTTATTGTTTCGGCATATTTTATAATCGCGTCTGTTTTTTTTTCTTCTGTTTTTTTAATCATATTTTAATTGGATCAAATAAATAAAATGGTTACCGGGCACAAGTTTTCCAACCTATATCAAGCCCTCGCCAAAAAAGATACACAACCCCTAAATGTATACACAAGATAACACGAATCTATACATAAGATAAATTATTTTTTCCTGGAAAAATAGGTATGGTAGGGATGGGGTGCAAAGAAATAAGGAAATGTATGTGGAGCGGGAAGTGAAGGTCCCTTCATATTAATTTTTTGAAGAGTAGTACCGAAACTTTCTGCAGTACCGATTGAGACGATTGTCTAATGATCGCCTATTTAGCACATACTTCAATTTTCGTAAAACACTTACCTGTTTCGACACATTTTTAAAAATATTTTCAGCATGGCGACTCCATTTGCAGCTTTCATTTGATATGACTTCCAGGTGCTTATGATTTTCTACAAATGTAACATCGACATTATTAAACTTAATCTCAACTACATGATCATTCTCAAAATTGGAAACAAGTAACGCCTCTGTCTTAATACGATAAAACGTAACGAACCACTTATCTGCCGAAAGTCTAACTTTATCTAGATCATTATTGATCGATGTTTCAATGGTTTCAGGAGAGATATCTGAGCGAAGTAAGGAGGTGTCATCTGCACATAATTAACATAAACTTACAAGGTTATCAGCAATATAATGGGTATAAATAAAAGAGGAACTAATACCGAGCCTTGAGGGACACCGCCATTAGTAGATTTAACTGTCTATTACAAATGTAATTATCTAACCAATCAAAGAAGTTATCCGAAATACTATAGTTTGCCAGTTTTCAGTCCCTTGTGTCACACACGATCGAACGCATTTGATATATACCGTGAACATTTTGCTGTAAAAGGTCAAGAAAGTGCAAACATTGTAGTTTATTTCGTTTCCTAAATGTTGTAATTGATCTACTTTAATGTCTTACTTCCACTACTATGGCCTGTCAGCCTTTCAGCGGACGGTTTATCTGAAAGGTACACCTTTGTCTCAGCAGCGATCGCCTCGATATGAGTAGCCCAAATCTGTGACATCACATCAGTCCAACGCTGTCAAAACAGCCTTACGGCAATATATTGAACTAACCACCATGTGTGCGTCTTTTTAACTACTTACGTGATATTTTCCGTTCGTAACCTACGAGTGTAAACATGTAAACATTGAACTACTTTATATTATCCAACTGGTCTCTAGAAAAAGTGATCGGCCCATTGTTTATACAACACCAACCGATCAAAATTAAGTCAAAGTCACAAAATTAACAACAAATACGACAGTACCACAATATGCTTGTGTCGAGCAGCAACGCAAGTATTTTAAACTCCGGTTTCTAAATTTAGAAACAATGATAATTGGTTTGTACATGGACGTATAATACGGAGGGATCAAAATACTGCCTATATCTCTGTGGCGAAGAAATTTGAGCTAACCAGCCCTGCTGTTTTCATGTACATTTTTTTCACCAAAAGTACATAACTAATCTTTTTTGCAAATAAGCAGTGGTAAAGTTGATTGTACTAAACTTTTGTGACAAATGATTTGTGTGAACTTTTGATATTTGTGTAAAAATAAAACACCATGTTTAAGCTATATTTACAACTGAAATGCCATACCTTTAATTGATACCACTTTTTGTCCACGCTTAGTATTTTTTCCGATTGACCTATTTCACTTTTGTAATGCATTACGATTATTCATTGGCGTAACTTTTGTTACGAAAAGGAAACTTCCTTTTAATTGTCCTACAAAAATGGTTCTGGTTATGCTGGCCAGTGCTAAGTCTACTCGGACTACGACATCGAGACACAGGTAGATAAGCTTTTCATAACATCTGCATGACTCAGTGAAGAAACACAAAAGCTTACGTCAGAGATTGAGCCTAGTCTCTCATTCCCTTGTGGTGGTGATGTGTTATTTATCACACTGTTTTGGACATCATGAAAGCAGCCATGTTTTGACAGTGGATATAGCCAGTTCCTGAGTTACCTGTGTTGTTCTCCCACCTTGTTTACCTGTATTCTCACGTATTAACTGGACCATACTCTCAAATAGAGTGTATTCACATCAACTGTAAATTTAGCACATTTCTTTGATTTTAAACTGGGTTTTCACATATTACATACCGTTTTCATCAGCTAGATCTATAGTAAATAGCAAGGTGAAATTGACAACGATGTTAGAAAATACTGTAGAAAGTGATGTTTAGTGATTACTTTTGGAGAAAAATCCCTTAAATTTCCCTTTGTTAATACCGCTACTTTGTTATACAATATGTTCATATACATATTTATTGATTTTAATACGTATATATCTAAAAAGTGTTATACATATTCTCTCTCATTATTGAGTAAAGCCTATTGCGTCATAACTTAAAAATGTTATTTTATGCATTATATGCTTATCACAGTATAATTCATTAATTTGGTATCCTATAAAATAATTACAGGTTTTAAATTAAGTGATTTTGATGTATTCTAATTAAATAGTAGTTGGAATCTGGTAAACATTTTTATATCAAAATGCCCAAATAAGGAAGAATGGCTATTAAAATGTACTATAATTTACAGAGTATGTAATGGTTAATGGTTAAATGCAATAACGACAACTCTTTTGTCTCCCAGTGTTTGGTACACATACAAACGTACGTGGTCATAAACTTTTCATTTTATCGATTTATCGCTTTATCATAACCTAAATGGTATGAGCAACAGTAGATTTCCCTTTGGTCAGGTTGACCGACAGACATCAGTTACACGGTGACCGTTACACGGTGACCGTGTGTATTATGTGTGGTGGTGTGTGTGTATGTATGTGTGTATAAGCGTTAGGCACGAGCCCAACAACTACAGTAAAGATGCATACTGCTGCAGCACAGACTACTCGACTCAGAGTGCATAATATTGAGGATGTGTAATGTTTACAATCCGTCTCAACTCAGGCCTTTGCTTCAGCCATGATATGATCGGCTGACCATCATGAAGTCGGTTGTTACTGACCACGAAGGTAGGTTCACGTTGATAGATTAGCATGCTCATTTCGGATGATGGAGTGAGGGTGTGTCTTACTTTCCTGCTAAAAGCAAGGGGGAGGGGAAGGAGGAGGGGAATGTAGTAAATGTGACATTGGAAGTCACGACAGCTTTAAAATGGCGTTGTACAGATGGGGTTGACGGGCGTGGTGTTAGGTGGTCACGTTCAGGACATCACTACAGCTTTGAAGGGGAGGGATAAGACGGTCGATATATTACAACAACTATCAATAAGGCTTGGCGGTCTTTGAGTGGATAAGAAAATGTCATTTCCCTTTCGGTCACACGAGAATGTGCCTGTCCTTGAGCTGTGCTGTTGTTTATATACACGGATTAGGAATCAACCGAATAAAGAATGTACCATGTTCTGTTATACCAGGGACATATATAACACATATATATGTCTCTGGTTATACAAAACTGAAGGTTACGTTGTAATGATGATATTGCAAAGGACCGATCTACAAATTTTAATATGTTTGGCAAATATTTTGCATATGAGATTCCAATTAGTGACAGTACATTGCACATGCACAAATGAAGTCTTCCGTTTCGTACTCGGAACGAGGCCGTAACTATGAATACGATCGCCATACGTAATCTAGGATGATTTTAATAAAAAAAATTTTGTGGTTTACTAAATATTTTTATACAAAGAAATTTCCATACTTGCATGCATTCTGTCTCTTCTTCACTTTGGCTGGAGGCTAAGTTTGCACTGGGTAGGGTTCAGAGGTCAAATGACGTGATATGCAGCTATGGAGGGGTTTCTCGCTGTTGGTGAACGATTTTTTTTACTGTATATAACGGTATTTCAGAAAAATATTAATATATCGTTCTGTAGATAAAAATTCCATGTTATATGTCTCTGATAATGAAATTTAACATTTCTCCGTTACAAATATTTATATATATATATATTTAATTTTCAACAAAACGTTTATTTTGACAACTTCAAAGGGAAATAAAAGCAATATTATGTATAAATCTTTAAATGTATGCCTCTGACTACCAAGTATAGTAACTTTCCAACACATTTATATAACTTTTATAAACTTGAATTAGAAATTAGTTGTGTCATTTCTTAGGAGAAAATGGCACATAACTTTTCACGAAAATATTTATTATGATTATAACAAAGACATCCATTCTTGACTTTCGGGAATTTTAAGGAGGTTGGACGAGAAAATATTTTTAGAACCGATTAAATACAAGTCACAGATAATTGCTTTGTTGTTTGTTTGCTTTGTTTTTCAATTGTTTCTCAGTCAATATCAATGTTTCTATAACTAATTTGTACAGTCAGTACCGTGTCAATAACTAGTGGACGAAATGATCCTTTGGTAATGGCCGTCATGACAGCTGTTGTACTGTGCAAGGTTATACAGAACATCTTCTCATTCGAAATTTGTACCATATCCCACTTTAATGAAGATATAGTGAAGTGTACACATACATATGTGCAGAGATACTGAGTGACTGAAGTCAAGATATTCTAAATTGACAATTCATTATATACCATAGCTATTTACATCCCCTACCATGAACATATAATATAGCCATCATCTGTGCACAGTCCATATTTCAGACGTTTGTCTACGCCAACGCAAGATGGCCCATCATCAGTAAGTTTTTCCCCCGTGTCCTAGATATAGGAACTAATTGCTATACGCCCCAGGCAGTTCACTTTCACACCTCGGCGATTGGGCCTTTTGCTTATCTTCGCTCCCCATTTGCCTATCAGAAATGACATGATGATGAATGTTCAATCGTAAATTTACTAGCAAGGGGTATTACATATGGTTATTTCCAAATTTCATTATTGCTACATTGTTTCAATTGCTTAAATAAACCACGAATTCATTGAAAATGAATTCAAGATTTGCTCTGTACTATGTATTTATTTGTATTGAATAGAAGCATTGCCAAAGTAGAGACATTTTTACTGCTGTAGTTAATTAATGTCTAATTATTGTTCTCATCTTCCTTGGTGTAATGGGTTACTTTAAGATATAGTTAGCGGTAGATGTTGTTGATCCCTTTCAATCCGAATTTTTAATCAAGTGTTTTCAGTTGTTATTCTTCAAATTGTAATTGCTTCAGTAATAACTAATTGTTCTGTTCAAATGTATTTTTTAAATTCTAGATCTTCCCGTAGTTTTATTTGTTTTAACCAAATCCAGGAGTGTCTTTTTATCTATGACACTGACCAAATCAGATGATTTCTTCGTATATTGACTGTAGTAATGTGTGAAATCACATAGGACATCGAGTCAGACGATGAGACATTTGCCCAGAAAAAGATGGCTATAGTTCACACCTGTCGAAGGTAAACTATAGGGGCTCTCAGTTGGGGTTTTACTGGCATGTCCTGCTAAATAACTGACCATATGCACTCATATAATAAAGTGTTTGTTTTCATTTAACAGATATTATTGAAGTGAATTGTAAAACTCTTATTTTTATACTCATGTATATATATATCATTGAAGGTGGCTATTTTTTGTTTGTGACTTTTAACATGGATATTTATGCTATTACGAGTTCAAACTCGAAATAAGTCTGACGTGTTAAGTACCGTACAATTACGGACTAGTAGATCTGTAATCTCCATTTATGCTACACAACAAACCTATATAACAATGGCTGTACGAGTCTCCGATTAAAACGATACCTACTAAGTTGGATAAAATCACTCATCCATGACTTAGTGACGAATCGGTAGGCGCGTACGTAACCAATGATATCACGTAGAAATAGCTGTACATGAATTCGAGTTGGAATAGTCAGGTGTGCGTTGTCAACTCTGTGTATATATTGGTAAAGCATATGAGAGATGTATAATATATACATATATTATACGTGCCTGAGCATAGTCAGCCTAGGGTCCTGGATATAAGCAGTTGCTTATCCATCTATATCTAAGCCGAATAAAAAATCCAGATTCTTAGTATTACAAAATGATGCTTTTGATTCACGAAATGTAAGTCAGGTGTTAGGATGTAATGCCATCCAGTAGGGTATTCTTGTACGTGAAAGTGTTAAAATTATCAAAGAAAAAGCTGTGAACATTAACGTGTATTTTGCAAGGAAAACCGATGGAAATCGCATTAGTAGCACAAAGCTTGAATAACTTTGAAGGTTGCCGGCTGATGAGAAAAGAACAATGAATGAATACGAGAATAGGGATTGGTTTAAAGCCGACGTGCAGACTTATTCTATGTTCTACGTCATATGTTGGTATAAGTTCACGAGGTGTGGAAATTTTAGCTAATTTTTAGCATTTTGTAGCTAAAACAAGAAAATACTATTATGTCATAATGCAAACCCAAATTAAAAAGAAAGTAGGGCAAAATATGAACAAAAGAGATATTTAGTCGGAGATTTATAAAAAAAGTACAAGGATAATAAGACCAAGTGTTCCGGTAGAGTAAACGTCTTCTACTTCACAGACAATACCCACCCTTTAAATCTTGGCCAATCCAAGTAAGTAATGTCACGTTCTCAAATGAGAACAAGACATTCAATAATGGAACTAAGAGACAAACTAAAGACAAATAAAACAAGTCCAGCTTCATATCGCACAAAGAAATAGGATACATCTTAATGAAACCAATATGACGACCGTTACATTTCCCCATTATTTTCATCAACCTGAATCATTTGAAACCCCGTGTTACCAGTTTGTCCATCAGTTGACAACTTCTTGCACGAAAATTGTGATAACGGGATTGGGTCCTTGAATATCAAATCAAACATGTAAACACCATGAGTTGATGATGCACGGTTGTAGCTATCCATAAAACGGAAAATTCACGGAAAGGGAATTTGAATAATCAGGCTTATCATATCGCTTGATGGAAAACTGGTGTATCTTTGATTTCCAATTCTGGTGGGTGTACACGATGGACCTGGTCAATAAATTTCTCGTTATTTAAAGACGAGGCGATCAGTATATATGAAAGTGAAAATTAAGCGACTTTGCAAGGTCTTGTGATATGCGTTCTTTGACAAATTCAGTCTCGTATGAAAACAAAAGCAAGTTAGCCAACAGAGGGGCATAATTAGTTCCCACAGTATGCCAATAGCCTGTAGGGAGATCTAACCACCAAACTCGACGAAAATGTCAACCAGAAACTCGAGCATTTTTATGAATTCGTCCTCCGAACAACATATTCAACATATATATGATCAATATATTTGGACGTATTTTTCAAGAAATACGATTCAGTATAGGTCACAGCCATATATTTGTACCGCCGTTCACCTTTCTTGAGAAAGAAAGCCCTCGCAACTAGAGAACTAAGGTGTTCTTTCAGTTTAGAATGGGTTATGTTGGTGTATAGAGTGAAAAAGTCTAATGTTCTTATCGAAGAAATGTTTTCAGAAAAGGGCGTTGACGATTAGCCAAAAGCTCTTTGCAGTTCTGTGAAATCTATGCAGGATAATATCAATATACATGTATATGAAAAAAAAAAAAATCATGAAAACAATTATGAAATGAAAATAGGCATGAACGAATTCGAGCATCCCATAATCTGTAGTTGTCTTCAATTAACTTTATCTGGCATACATACCGGTCAAATAAGACTCGTAATATAGATAAAGTGCCATCTGAATAATTCTATAAGATAAAGAAAGGACTGTGTATTAATATACCAGCGAAGGGATGCCTTCGCATTCCCTGTCTATTCTAGAGAGATAAAACGACGGAAGCGATTTATCAAAAAAAAAAAAAAAACGAATCTGAAGCTGAACAGAAAATGTGTAATAATTTTGTCGAGTATTTGATCTACTCTATGATTTTCTGTCTGTTATTATGATGACATATGTACGAAAATTCTCATTGCAATTAATACATATGACATTGTACAGGCAAATATCATTTCTTTTGATGTGAAGATGAAACGTCTATATTTAACATAACAGGAACATTTATGAATTACGTCCTGTCCTATTTTGTCAATAAATTATT